CTATTCTCAAGGAATCAAGACCGCGAGCAACAAAGGAAGAGCGACGAAGAAGAAAAGGATGGAAAGGATGAGAAAGACGAAAAAGATGAAAAAGACGAAGAAAAGAAAAAACTGTCAGCCCACGGCACTATTGCTCCTGGTAGAGCCTTTTCGACCCCGACGAATCCGGTCCTCTTGCATCGACTGCACGGCTCTCTTCCCCAGAATGTTCGAACCGCTACCCTCGGCTCCTTCTCTCGCAGTACCGAGGCCTGTGTCATGATCTGTACTGATGTGGCTTCGCGTGGCCTGGATTTGCCGAACGTGGACTTGGTTGTCGAATATGATCCGGCCTTCAGCTCTGATGACCACACCCATCGTATTGGTCGTACTGCCCGTGTGGGACGAGACGGCCGTGCCCTCATCTTCCTCCAGCCTGGCTGCGAGGAAAACTATGTCGAAATCCTAAAGCGCGGCTACCGCGATGGAGGAAAAGCGCTTACCCGCACTGATGCAAACGAGATTCTCAAGCGTGGCTTTGGCGGCAACGACAACAAAAAGAAGAACTGGGAGGAGAAGACAACCGATTGGCAGATAGACGTGGAGCGTTGGGCACTTGATAACCCAGAGTATTTGGAAATGGCTCGACGGGCGTTCCAGTCTCATGTCCGAGCCTACGCAACCCATACCTCAGCTGAACGGAGCATGTTCGACATTAAGGAACTCCACTTGGGTCATCTTGCGAAGAGCTTCGCCCTGCGCGACCGACCAGGCAAAATCAACGTCCCTGGTCTGCGACCTGGACAAGAGGACACCAAGAAGGATTTCAAGGCAGCGCGAAACGGTGTTGCAGGCAACAAGAGAAAAGCTGAGGAGGCTCCATCTGCCACAAATGTTACGGACGAGGCTGCTCGCAAGATGAGAGCCAAGATGAGGGAGCATATGTCTGGAGCCAACGAGTTCAACTTGGCTTGATCTATTGCTCTGTAGACTCCTTCAAAAAAGCATGGTCGCATGGTTGTTTTGTAGCATTAGCATTTATCTCAGTAGATATCCCATAATGAAATCTTCCCGTCCTTGGACCCAGCCGCTAGCCAATGAGTTTGTTGTACTTTTTGATCCCGTTGTTGCTGCACTTTTGCAAGAGAGTAGTCGCGTCCGTCGACGGCCGTCTCTCCTGCTGCGCCCTGGTCGGCATCTCGGGGTTCTTGCTTTGCAGACTCAGCCAATGAAGACACCAACGAAGACCTGTTTTCAGTTTCCCCGAACGCTATAGAATAACAACCATCCTTATGCCACTTCAGCACAGCCAGCTCTTTCATGGTTTTGCCAGAGTACACCCGGATCCTGCTGTCCCAGCCAGCAGTAGCAAATATCTTCCCATCCGATCGTATCTGTAGACCTTGCTGGCCCGAATGCTTTGTGTTGACAGTCTTCAAGGGAGATTCTTCTTTGTAGCCAGCGGTAGGGATATGACCTGCAGACCCTATGCTGGGGATGGGATGCTTGACGATCAGAGCATCCGCAGAGGAAGAGATGAAGTACCCATGGGAAGGGGCGATATCTAAAGAAAGAACCGGCTGGGAATGAGGGCGGCCAGCATAAAGCTTATCCCATTTCAAAGGGTTGTTGCTTATATACTCACGCTCAAAACTGGCCGAAGTGAGAGCTCCACGATGAACGAAGACCATTACATGGCCATCTTCATATGCAGATGCGATGAAGAGATCACCAGAAGGTGACACAATGAGATTTACAGCCATCAACATTCCAGTTTTGGTCAATTGGTCGGAAGGAATAGTACTGATTCTGCGCTCAGATGGTAGGTGGAAGATATCGACTCCACCAGAGTCCAAGGCATTGGGTACTGCAAAGAGAGTGCTCTCTGGTCTTCCAGATTGGGATGGAAGCCCAGGAAGCCCATCCGAATTCACAAATGCCATTGAGAATGCGCAGAAATTGAGCGCATTCACGGGCAAGGAATGGAGTAACCACGGCTGGGATTTACTTCCTGCCAATGCGGACTCTGGCGCATCCACTGGAAGCGTTTTATCGAGGAAAGATTCATCCTCCGGTCGAAGCTTCCACACACATAGATTGTGGTCGCGGCCATGTCTATTGCAGATGTTAGTGGGATGGCCGATATCCCCAGGGCTAGATCGGGGTGGATGAATCATCATACGTGTAAATCTCGGTTGCACCCGAGCCAACATTAAAGCCTCTGGCCTCCAAAATGGCTCCCTCGTGGGCCTTCCACGCCGTCACAGGGCGTTTGGTGACCAGGTCCCAAACAACGATCCAGCCATTAGCGTCGCCGGATACAAGCCGTAAATTCTGGCTGTAGATGTGCAAGGCATGAATGGGAGAAGCATGTCCACGAAGGATGTATATTGGGGTAGCTAGAGATTGAGCTTGAACTGATTTGGTGTCCATCCTAAATGCCTTGTGGTTGTTGCTTGCTGATATCGATCTTCTATCCTGTACCGGCAGAGATGCCTTGTGGAACTGCCTGCTTACACCGCCACACTTGAGCCTCACCCAGGGGTGTGATCCATTTTAGAGTCTATTTTTAGATCTTTATGGTTTGCATGGCCGTCACTAACAGAATATAAAGCAAAAAGGGTTCAAATTTAAAAATGGAGCAAGAAAACGCGCTCGCCAACAAGTTTTGAAATTGTGGCCTGAGGCGACAAACGACATACGCGGTCGGTCACTTGCCGCTTTAGTCACACCTTGCCGCTTTTTGATCACTGGTCCTGTAGTATGTAATTCACACTGCAATACTTCAACAAGGATAGTATCAAAATCTGACCATGTAGTAGCCCTGCAGTGTGAGAGATGAATATGTAATCATTCACAATACGGACTCTGATGTATACTGACTGGTGTACGAACAATGTATGGTATAGATGCCAATGTTGATAGCTCTAACTAAAATGACAAAACCCGCTATTTCAACAATCTGTGTGGACCGACGCATCCCATTCGATGCTAACTGTAATATACACTTTTGAATGGTATGCCTGGTAGCTAATGTCACATGATGTTTCCGGTATAATACCTGGTTTCTACCATGTATTCGGACTTAGTATTCGACATATACTACTACTGGATTTATCCAGTATTCTATAAACCACGCAATTTACACAGTATGGCCGATATTAGTATTTCAACGAGTAGGAAAACTTGCGTCTCCTAGATAGACAAGCCTGAACTAAAGAAAGGAAGTTCGACAGACATGAAGTAAAAGAAAGGGCTTGAAAGCCTAGGTATGATGTAGAAAGAGCAGACTTTTATGTAAAGAATCCTTGCTTCGCTTAGTATAGTGAATCTAATAATATTAGTATCGTACGAGGCACAGAGCTTTCTATATCTACACACACACAAGTCTACAACATCCCAATAGAATATAACTATCCCACAGAGTAACTGGTGAAGATAACTATATATGTAGCTTCTGAAGGCATATTCAACCGCTCATGTATTGGAGACTTCGATTCCTAATAGGACCGGATAGGAAAATAAGATCCCGGAAATCGCATCAACTATGAGCGCAACTGTTGTCAATCGATTCGTCGAACTTGGGAACAGACTCCGAGGTCCCTCGTATGCCATCACCATTCCTTGGACCGTCAATGGACACTTTACCAGCTCCTGAGGTCATAGTCGAAAGTTCATTCTCCTTGGTCCATCAACACCTGTCCAATCAAACTCGGGTTTTATCCAGTGAATCCAGCTGTGGCGAAGGACACGAAGAAATATTGGATCCTACAGCCCAGTTCCTTCTAATAGGACGCTGGTAATATTGGTGCTCAGAGATCATTTTATATTTTTGCTTTCTACTCCATCTAGACAAACAAAGCCTTTACCAACAAGTCTTAGTATATAGCATTTCCGATACTATTAACTTTTCTATAAACCCGTGTCCCTCTCTAGAACAGAATATAAAGATTACCTACCTGTTGACTTTGCAAAGAGCATTAATATCTACATATCTACAGAATACAGTAGAGCGCACTGTCTCGATATTTTATATGCTTTCAACAGGAATATATTCTGTAGTTTAACACTATCGCAGAGTAAGGTAATCCAGTTTTGGTGTCCCGTACAAATTGATAAATAACGATTGCAAATCACTCAAGTCCAGCCGGGAGGTCACTTTCATCTGGCCCCTCATTGTACTTGTTCGCGGTTCTAGGCTTTGTATGACGGACACGATCTCCCCTCATGATATTAGACTTGTTGATCGCCTCCCTTTCGTCCTCCTCTAGACCCTCTGAGTTAGTTGCCTGATACTTTAGAATTCACATCGGGGAATAACATGGACTTACCAAGCTGCTGATCAGAATTGGAATAGGGAGGTTGCATTGGATCTTCAAATGACTGTTCATCTTCTTGAACGGGGACTTGATCTCTCAAGTTTGACTTGGGCTCTATGGCATAGGAATTCTCTGTGAAGTCCTCGGTCACGGGCGAAGGGTCGTTTTCTCTCTCGTAATTATCTTCTGCGGCTCTTTCGGTAGGGTTCGACATGTTGTAATCTGAGTGACTTGTGTCCAACGTTTCAACGTAATACACCCGGAAAGGAGATAGAGGCGTCCTTAAAATATACCAGTTGTTAGAAGAATCTAAAACCTCTTATTCAGACCATTCATTACAAAGTCAGAGCTTGGCCGTGCTACTTATTGTCCAATGTTCTGACGTATGGAGTATGTAATTCACAGTTTATGGCAAACATACGTCGCTATGATCAATTGTTCAAATTATTAACTAGCTAGATATATGAAGTCATTAGCCACGAGGTATTGACTATTGTGGCAAAGTATCGGGGTTCAATCGAATTGTGAGGCTCGACTAGAAGTCGCGAGAATGTGGCCACCCAATGAACCAAAGTCAGCGCCTGGTCATCATCTTCGACTCCATCAAAGACCGGTACTCTGTTTGAGTATACGAGCTAGTAATGCATGGACGATATACTCGGATTTAACCAATGAAAGTGCAACACAAGTTTGCTTAGAATCTCAGGAAATAGGACTGTCGGCAAAGTGAAAGGCAAAACTAGAAATTGAAAATCCACTTGAGGAGTGCAGACTAATATGATAAGTATTTCAGTATCATACCGGAGGAAGTTGTTAGTCAAACGGAATGCATTAGTCAATGGTACCCAGCAGGTAGCGAACCAGACGTTTGAGGACCTGTTCATATTAGGTCCCGGGGTTGCGGGCGTACTTTGCTAACTGAATAGCTGCATAAGAGATATCAATCACCTCGTGTCCCAAGAATCAACCAAACGGCTTTCCCGACCTTTTCTTGTCAGATTTTGAAATCCGCAGCTGATGCAGTCTTGGTGGAAGAAACCAGCGGTTAAACGGGGTAGCAACTGGCTTGAAATTCCGCATGCCATACTGATGAAGAGCAGTGACAAACTTCTCCCGAGATAGCCAAACTAAAGATCAATACATATTCAATACTACATAGTCCTTATAATACTGTGTCCTACTAGCCCTGGGGTGGACGGGGGGTTTAAAAGTCTTTATGTAAAATAAGGGTGACCAATGAGAGGACTAAGTAGTAGTGGAGGATCCATCCATAGCTCTTTCCCATGGCATATACTCCAGATAACGGGTAACATAGTCTATTACTATAAATAATTCATGAGCGTGATATGCGAGACATCATAATCAGCCCTTTTCTCTCCGTATATTTCGCCGAATCCAGATCTTTCGGAAGAAGATCCTCATCTCCATTTGCGATAAGAGCTTCAACAAGAGTCGCCCTCCCCGCGTGCGTAAACCCAAGACGCCGGTACAATTCCACCGTAACATCATTCCCCGCCTTGACGATGAGCCGCACTTGGACTTGACGAGGAAGTGATCGGTATGAACCGAGATGATTAATAGCCTCCTGGCACAATTTGCCTCCAAGTCCGCGGCCGCGATGTTCCGGAAGCGTAAACAAGCTCAGCATCTGCCATCGCTCTTCCTCTTCGTCGGACTTCTGTGGTGGTTGGCCAGCTTCCAGAGGTAACTCAAAATCATCCCTGGATGAAGGTCCTCGCAGAGTTACCTGGCCGATCCATTGGGTGTTATCGGGAGACAACGGATTAAGATTGACTGGTGTTGCGGCACAGATAAAGAGTTCTCGATCGGGAAGAGTGAGACGATCTATCCAGTCGGCATCGGCGAAGGCCGCTTCGATATCATAAGTAGATGAGAAAGAATCGGGTGAAGTCTTCAACGCCTTTAACCGTAGGTCTCGATATTTTTGAGCGGAGACATCGATTTCGTCTGTCTTAGAGACCCGGAAGAATGAGTAGGTATAGTTGGAAGCCATGGAAAGGACTTGAAATCAGGTTGTGCATTTCATCACAGTATAGTACTGCTTGAGTATTTATCTGTTATAATTTTGTGACTCAGATGGGGCAAGCTACGGCCAACTTGAAATTGGCCGATATCCATCGCTCACCGGGGGGACCGATCCACTTTTCTAGGTTCTAAATCTCCACTATCGGCGTTATAGAGTATGCCCTACCATCCGATACTGAAGCTGATTATGCTAATTAGCTAGCGAATAGTCCTGAACAAAGCCCTGGCCCAGATTTATTGCGGATTTGGTCGTCCATCCCTTGAGAGTAGACATAGGAGAATCGGTGCCTATGAGCTCTTGGGAACTGGCAATATGGGATGCGACATGTGAAGATGAATACGGAGAAAAAAAGATGAAGCAATAGTTTGGTGGTCTTTAATTTCAACCACAGATCGGTGGTATTCTCCGGATTGATCGGCCGAGAAAGAATAATCCATGGATATTCATAGGGTATAAGCACTGTGGACGTGAAACTAGGTGATAATAATTCATGATTCGTCAAAATGTCCAAAGCATCAAATCAGATCAGATCAAATGTCCCATAGTGATACTGATTTAGTGCATGTTGGTGATGAGGTGGCACATAATATGCTTGATACGGGTGGTTCTCCAATGAGAAGTCACCGGCAGTCAACAAAGGATTGTGCGGGCTTGGAGATGAGCCTGAGTGATTGGAGATTGATAGAGATGGGTCTAATTCATAGAAGTGATTGTGCATTTGGGCTGGCGTTACCGTGTGTGGGTGAGCATCGGGCCAGCTCCAAACTTGTTTGAGATCGTTTTTGATTGGTTCAGCACTGCTGCCAGTCACTTTAGTGATGGTATCGAAAATGCCGAGCACCTCCTCTTGCGCTTCTCGTGTGTCTAAGCACTCTGCGGCAAGTACAAGGAAGTACAGGGATGTATCGGCCACACCTCTGTTCAACTGATCAGACACAGATATTTCTGGAATTTTGGTCATGGGTTTGTACTGACTGGTTTGTAGTTTGGGCAATAAGACCGCACATTTCGTGTGCATGGCTGCGTTGCATTTTCCGCATATTTTCATCGAACTCCGACTGGAAAGGGTGTGATTTCGCTAACAAAATACGACTGGCGTGGTAGAATAATCGAGAAACAATAGCAGATCGATTGGCAAGCCTGAAAATATGAGTTGACGAACGGGACGGGGTGAATGAAAGATAATAGAGGACATACCAAACTTCAGGAAAGACCGAGTTGGAACTTGTTTGCCATGGCTGCAGATGACCGAGGGGCACAAGGGATCTAGGGATAGATTTCGCCCATTGCTCACACCACCTGTTGTGAGTGATCCAATCCTGATCATTGGGCTGGATGGCCCGCGCCGCATCGTCACTTAAACCGTGAGATGAGCGCGAAGACGCCTGGAAGGTCATGACTCTCGCGAAAATGTAAAGTATCCGATGATGCCATAGATCTTGATTTCCCCCATTGGTGGCCTGTGAATGATCCATGTCCATGTTGACCCCCCAAGTATCTGGATCCCAAGACAATGTCCAATTATATCGCATACAGTTCAGGAGCTCTGCACTGACGCTGATCCTGAAACATGCTCCACCTAGCCCAGGGGTTTTGGCAGTCCAGCCACATTCTCGGATCAAAGCTCGGGAGCCTGCACTGTGGTCTCCATTGTGCCTTGATCGGGTTTGCATGGTTTCGGAGAAACCGAGGGCAAGTGCTGCTGTTGCGCAGAGTACAGAGTCACGGTTAGGATCATGGATTGCATTCAGAAGATCCCGAGTAGCCGCGTCATAATAATGTGCCGTTTTTTCATCTCCATAAGAAGGGTCTACAAAAGAACGATGTCTAGCACCACACGCGAGAAACGCATTTAGCAATATGGGCTCGCCAATGGCAAAACCAGGAAGAATGTGGGAAAACTGCGTTTTGTGAGCAAACTATAAGGATTGAGAGTGAGGAATGTTACCCACATGGTTCATTTCATCCATTATGTCCATCCGGGGACCAACGTCTTCCATGAAAGTTCTGAGAAGAGAGACCTGTTCTGGGTCAGTGAGAAAAGCATGGTATTCATGTTTTCCAGCCAGTTTCCGCGCGAAATGGGACGTTCCATGCGGAAGAAGTTCATCTCCTGGTACCAAGTGAGACTGGTGCCAGGTATCAGTCCCAACGAAATCCGCTGCATTTGGATGGGGGACATCAAAGCTCAGTGGGTCAAACGAATGTGCCACGGATTGAAAGAGATTTGTCAAATCATCATCTCCCATAAAGTCAAAGTCATGGTGTGATTGTCTGCTCTCTTGCACAGGACTCTCCGGCTGGACAGGCGGGTATGTCTCGAATCCTCCCACATATAGAGACGCGATCAAGCGCGAGTCGTCTCGAAATGTCACTTTCGATCCGGGGGGGCGAGCGATGGTGTGTGGAGGTGCCACAGTTTGAGTGTCAATGAAATTGAGACGGACCCCACGCCGACAGACGCGATCCGACTTGCGACAATTGAGACATCGTCCCACGGCTTCGTCGCATTTCAAATGTCTTTGACGACAAGTGAGACAGCCTGTGCGCACCCTCCTAGCTTTTGTATCTGGCGCATCTGAGGATTTCTTGCGACTGGACCGGGGTCGGGGTGTGCTTTGTGAATCGCTTGCCTGGCTCTTCGGAGTGGATGTCCTCGTGCTGACATTGGGCGACTGCGGCTGCGCCTTCGCTACTTTTCGAAGGTTCATTTTGCCCCTGAGCTGCTATCTTGGTTTTATAACGCGACTATACTTCTAATCTCCGGCGCCAACTGGAATCCCAACCGATAGATGTTTCCCGAATACACAAGATGCCGTTGTAGGTTCTACCCAGATGGCCATGTTCGTTGTCGACGGTTCTGATAGGAGAAGTTTCAAAATTATATCCAGCTAGAGAAAAGAGGATTGCGACCGTCTTTGGGATTGGTATTCAAGTGTAGCTTTGAATCCAACTACCAGGCGGCGGCTCAGGAGGGGTAGGAAAAGAAGGAACCGGGAATAATTCTGGAGGGCGAAAAGAGGTCAGCTGAGGATTATCTTCCGAAAGCGAAAGCACCGAATGAATATACTCACTAGCCCCTTGCTTGGCCACACAGACGTCTCGAAGTTGCGGAGAAGTGGGTGGATGTTAAGTTAAAGATCGAGTCAAGAAAAAAAAAGGTGGGCCGCTTTGCCAAGATCTCCGGTATAGGAGTACGAGGTGGATAGTAATGCACAAGTATTTATTCACATCAACTAAAGAAGATACATATGTACAATCAAGACAAAGTACTCAAGTACTTGTCACACAGGTTATCCGTGACAGGCTGAAATTTGCAGCCAATATATATTGCCCGGTGTCAAAACACTGAACCGTCCCAGAGACACTGTCTAGGCTTTTCTTCCCAATCGCGGTAGCTGGACTCGGCCCAGCAATATCAACACAATGACTCCCCAGAGGGCCGCAGATATGAAGGTTAGTTGAAGAGCCGCGGAATATGACGTGGTGACTGAGTTGTTATTAGTAAGGCCAAAGCAAGCCGACATTCCAAAGAAATAGAACACACCTTCTCGCCGATGGATTGGATCCAAATGAGTAATCGTATCGACGGATTTGCGGACAAGTGCAATAATGTGGTTCTTCTCAATACCAGTGACGTTGTTGTTAAGGTGGTATATAAGACTATTCTGGAATATCCAGCTGCTGACAGCCACACCCATCACGGCGCCAAGGCTTCTCCACAGCCCCAGAGTGGTTGTTGCGACAGCCTGATCTTGTTTCTCACTAGTTGCGAGAATGCTTACCATCAGGGCGGGAAATGCGAATCCCTGGCCTAGACTAGAAAATGAGATGCAGATCATGGAGAGTGGTTGAGAGGTGTCAATGCCCATGGATGCAGCTGCAAATCCACCTATCACCATGAAGAATATACCGATAATGACGAAAGGTTTGAGACGTCTGGTCCAGTTAATCATGAACCCGGTGCCCACACTGGAGACAGTGACAGCTATGGAGGAAGCCAGAAGGCGTAGACCAGAATCAGTCGGGCTGCTCAGCTTCACGGCCTGAAAATACAGCGGAGCATTGAACAGCATGGTGTGTAAAGACATGGAGGCAAAGAAATTGCCAAAGATAATACTGGCTCGAGGGTTCTTTGACATGAGCTCAATGGGTAGCACGGGTCGTGGGACGTACTGCTCGTAGCGCACCAAGATAACCCCTAGGACTAACGATGACACCAGTGAGATGATAATGAGCGGATGGCCCCAAGGATAGACATTCCCTCCAAAGTTCAGACCGAGGATCAAGAGAGTCACACACATAATCAAGATGGTCGATCCCAATAGATCAATACTCCGGACTAACTGCCAGACTTTCATGCGCTCCATTCCAGTGTGTTTAATGCCAAGGTCTGCCGGGACTGTCCAAGCGGCTGCGATAAAGTAAACGAAGATGAAAGGCAGTTGGATGAAAAACGCACCCCGCCAGCCGATATGATCACACAGGTAGCCCCCAAAAGCAAGGCCGAGGCTACCGCCGATGCCGAGACACAGGTTGATATATGATTGGTAGACCCCGCGATACTCGAGATGTACCAAGTCACTCGAGATGATCTGACCGATGGAGAAGACGCCGCCCGCACCAAGCCCACAGAAAGCGCGAGCAGCAATAAATCCGCCGATACTTTGCGCCAAGCCACAACCTGCTGTCGTGAAGAAGAACATGGCTATAGAGAAGAGATATACAGGCTTGCGGCCAAATGCGTCAGAAATGCGTCCAAAGAGAGGCATAAATGCGGTCGAGGTTAACAAGAAGGCCGTCGATAGCCAGGAGGCTGAGTTGGCTGCATTGAAATAGGAAGTGATGACTGGATGGCTGGAGGCCATGAGGGTCGAGTCAAAGAAGCCGATCATGTAGCCGATCATAATGCCGCCGAAGATGATCCAGAACCTTGTCGGCGAGACATCAATGAACCTCGAGGCGTAATCCTTTTCATCTTGAGTTGAGATTCTCGGCTCTTGGCTGGGAAAGCCAGCCCCAGAACCCGCCCCGACATCGAGCCCTTCGGATGCAGAGCTTGCACTGGATATATAGCGATTGTGAGTTTCTTCATCCGTATCTGTGGATGAGCGGGCTGATTCAACATCCGTTGCAGAATACGAGACATCATGGTGACCCGTCCTCTGGTGGATAGAATTATTGCGTAGGAGTGGGGTGGCCTCGGAGGGGCAAAAATGAACTGATTGTCCCTCGCAGTCGCCAGTGATGGGCATCTTTTTTTTTAAAAAAAAAATTTAAAACCAAATGTATGAAAATAAGTTATTGCATAAGAACGAAGATTCTGCAAGCACGCAATGTAAGTACAGAAAACGCCATCAACGACTTAAGGGCGTTGGGAGCAGTGGTGACACAAAAAAAAAAGAAAGAGAGAAAGAAAAATACGAGCCTAGGGAAATAGGATGTTTATATCAACGCTAGGACTGCAAGACCCTATTTGATGCAGCACAACACCAATTGCCGAGAGACAAAAAAAAGGTGCAGTCCATAGATGTTTGACGCATCGGGAATAGCGTGGTTTGTCAACGGGGTCCGATCTCGGGAAACGATAAGAAGATAGGGAACATTGTATCCAGCGCTCAGGTGGGCAACTATTTTCAACTATGTATCTTTGTTTCACAACTGTATTACGTTGCCTGCAGCTTCAGATCATTTCGAATAATGCATTCCCCGCTCCGCATAGCCGTCTTGGAATGCGATACCCCGCTTGACAACATCAACCGCCGTTATAATGGTTATGGCGGGGTATTCCGCGTATTCCTCAAAGCTAGTGTCAATGCCTTGAACCAGCCCGAGAAACTCGATCCAGAAACGGGGCTAGAAATCACGGCTTGGGATATAGTCAATGACGACAAATACCCGAAGCTGGAAGACGTGGATGCCGTGCTTCTAACAGGATCGAGTGAGTGTTGACTCAGTAGACTCAGAGTCTCGAATGCAGACACTAATTACAGTGACCTTAAACCAGAACACAACTCCTTTGAAGACATCCCCTGGATGAACCGCCTCGTGGAATTCACTCAACAAGTTCTCGCGCAGGATCGGGTCCGTCTACTCGGAATCTGCTTCGGACACCAAATCGTTGGCCGCGCATTAAATACCAAGGTCGGACGAAGCGACCAAGGTTGGGAGATTGCGGTGTGTGATATGGATTTAACTGATGAGGGCAAGGAGTTGTTTGGGCGGGATAAGATCGTAAGTTTCCTACGCCTGCGCCTCGTTTAACGAAAGGCTGTATACCCCATGCAGCCGAGTACACCTGATATGCAGACAGCTGACCTATTTACCGCAAATAGCGCATCCAGCAAATGCACCAGGATATTGTCTATAATTATCCCCCGAACGTGATTCCTCTGGGCTCATCCCCGCGCTGCGCTGTGCAAGGTATGTATGCGCCGCGCCGCTTTATCACCCTTCAGGGCCATCCTGAATTTACGGGGGACATTACCACGGAGGTTATCCAGAGACGGGCCGACAGTGGTATATTTAAGGGAGACCAAGCTCAAGATGCTTTGAGCAGAGCTAATAATGAACATGATGGTATCACCATTGGGGTGGCGTTCCTGAAGTTCCTACTGGAGGATTGAGCAAGAATAAATTTCCGAAGCGACGCAAGCGAATTGCATTAGATTTGGCTGGCTATCTTCAGGTTATGGCGAGTTTTGGTCAGTGCTCTTTAAACTAGTACGAAATAGATCAATCTTCATGTACATGAGACGCATTGCAATATCTGACATGTCATTAGACAACGAAGGGCTCTCAATACCTACATAACGTTAGGCAATTAAATACTACTTGGGAACGAGGTTTGTATTGCAGTAATTGAGAGACCAGACTGGTAAATAGAGTACAGGTCACCCAACTAGGAGCTCTACCCTGTTAACTATGGAGATAACTGAATGAGGATGACTGACAGGGTCATGTCAGAAAGCGGGTGTGAAATTCCATGGTAATATAAGAATACAAGTCACACTAGGTCGCTGCCAGCGCTGGATCATGGGTCAAGGCCCAGACTGGAAAAAGAGAGCCAAAAAAAAAGAGCTAAAGCTAATGACTCTAGAAAACAGTGGGAGAAAGAAACCCTGGTATCGTTGTAAACAAGGTCATTGAGGACTGCCCCAGGCAAAATCCTCATGCGAGTTCATAATCACAAAACGCCTCCTTCCGCAAGCCCATAGGCTGCGAGCCCCGCAGGGCGATGCAATATGCAAACCCAAGTAAGAAACCAATCGCTTCATCACTAACGCCTTTTTTTTTTCCAATGCAAGAGAAAGCGCTAAAGTTGCTCAAAGGTCTAATCGGAGATTGGAGACAAGGAAGAAAAATAATAAAAAAATCAGGTCGGACGCGGGCGGGAAAGTCGCCTACTGCGACGACATTTCTTTTCGTCCATGTCCGATTGTTCCGGGGTAGTGTTACCCGGTAGAGGGGGGTCTGTGGCCTGACAGTCTTCTGCGTCGGAGTTCATCTATTAAATAAAAAGTTAGCAAATATCCCATCTGAAGGAAACTATTGGTTGGAGAACTGACTCGAAGATTCAAGGAGACAACCTCGTCGTGTTCATCCCTGAAAGAGATACCAACGCCCAAGGTAAGATTGGAGACGAGACGTTTTTTAGGTCGGGTTCGTCGTGCGGGACGAGGATCTTCGGAATCGTCGCTATCCTCCGCAGACCGCTTGCTACCCGTACTGAATGGAGAAGAAGAGCGCGAAGCCTGCAAGCTTGGTTTTATGGGTATGCCGGGGGCAGCTTTCTTATCAAATGGAACGTCGGTCTTCTCGTCTAAAAGCGCGGCGAAGGCGCGGTCAATGTCGCCACGACATCTCTGGAGCATGTCGACAATTGTCTCTCGGTCATATCGGCCCCCCAATCCTTCCTGAATGGATTTGATATCCCAGGGGGGATAGAGGTCAACAGCAAGGCCAGCATCGTTGGTTGTATAACCACTGCCAGCTTTTTCTTCTGGTGAAGTGAATTGTTCGGGATCTATGTTGGATTTGGAGGCTAGAATGACCTCGGGCTTGATACCTTCCTTGATAGGTTGGAAAGGCTTCGGCTTGGTAAGCAGTCCTTCATGCTCACCCTCGATACCCCGCACTGAAGAGTAATGTTTGAAGTCCTGTGGCAATTAGTGGGGCTCGATGATATGCATGATACGCATGACAGCAAGACACTTACATGGAAGGCTACGTGCAGAAGATCCCGAGGTTGCGTTGGGAGGGCATTGACATCCTGGAACACCGAAACACCATCCATGGTGTATACATTCAAGTCGACCTTGAAGGCCTGACAGAATGCCTGAAGATGCTCGGAACTGCCCCATTCCCCATTCTTGCGGGTGGTAGCAATCATTTCCTGGAACCGCCGTTCCATGTCTTCCTGGGACGGAGCGGAGACATCGGCAGAGCGAGTAGCATACGCAGATGCAGCCGCACGTTTAGGCCGGCGGCGCTCCCCACCTTCAGCAACGACAAATTGCATGAAGTAATCTTTATTGGAAGCCATGTGATTGGCCAGAAGCTGGCGGATTTCGTCTGCATGGTGGGTGTCGCCATACAGTTGGTCGGAGAGGGAGTAGTAGAGACAATTACCTAGCATTGGACGCGTCAGAATAGGTAAAAAAAACGTGACGCAGCTTCGAAATGCTAATATGGAGCTCTGAAAGCATGTGGCAGGTGTAATTGGCTTACCGTCTCCCTCGGTTGGTAATGCATAAAGGCCTCTCTCTTGAAGAGAGGCCATTTCTAAGCTCGCATGGTGTATGGGCTTGGCTTGTTTACCAGCCTGTTGGTCCTGCAACAGGCGAGGAATAGTCGGTGGGGAAGAGGTTGGAGAAAGGGGGATTGGAGGAAGAGATGCGCCTAACGACGCAGGCACCTCGAGGGTGGGATCGTGAGAATCAGACCCCGTAAGTATGGGCACGATTCTGCCACCATTAGTGAGGAGTGACATATTGAAGATGAGACTCGAATAAAAGTCGGCATTTATGGGAGTGTAGACCAGTAGACAAATAGACCAATAGAGAAGTGAGAGGAAATTGAGAAAATTGGGAGATTGAGGTTATTGATCTAAGAATGGCAAACAAAAGGAGCCCGCAGAGTGAATTCGGGCCCTGCGGGTGGTTTGAAAAAGGAAATTGTTCGGACCTCCAATGCCCATTTGACTACCGGGACGAGGCGGTGAACTCTGGTGCTCGGTGATTGGCCACGGCGTGGACGTTTGCCCACTATGACATCGCCCAGTTTTCTTTGTATAGAAAGCTTTTACGGCATTCAGTTCTATATTTAGTAGATGAAAAGTTCTGCTAGGGATTCTGACTCAAAAATGTTCCAAAGAAGTGTGATTTACGGTGAAGTGAACGTCAATTGAGGTAATCGAAGAGCCCTGGAGGGATCAAATGTGATCGATAACGTTGAATTCGGAGTGGAGTCCGGAGAGATGGGGCGGGACTTTACGGAGCTCCTTGCTGGGGGGTCCAAGTGAAATCAGATAATTGAAGACTGAATCAGGGATTCAAGAGACTTGAAAAACAAAAGCATTGAGGTATGTATCAAAATCTTTATATATTTGTTACAATGGCTTCCAATCCTTTAACCAGAAGTACGCATCACCTCCGCATAAGTGCGGAGTTGTATTTTAAAACTTTGACCGTGTACTGAATATCCACCCATGTCTCCACAAAAAATCTCTAGCGCGTTTATTTCTTTTTTTCGGAGGTATTGGATTGGCTCAAGCTTTACACCGCCGCGGCAGGATTCCCATAATAGGCCAAGTACAAAGTAAGGTAATCAAGCCCTTACCATACCTTACCAGACCCTTATCGGTTAAATGAGCGAGATAACTGAACGCCCCCTCACCCCGCTCGTGGCCCTGGAGCTCACACATTTAAGGACAACGGGCCCCTTTTGTGTCATTGTGCATATATCTGGGTTGGAACTTCCAGGAGCTTAAAGTGCCCATTATGACGAATAACATTGTAGTTCTGGGGTTAGTCCCCTGAGCTCCGAGGTTCTCTAGCTTCACCCCTGCAGGAACTCCACTAACAGATGTAATAGTGCTGGTGTGTCTGGTTTGACCACCGCATACCTGCTGTCACAAGACCCTTCCAATAAGATCACTGTGCTGGCAAAACATATGCCTGGAGATTATGATATTGAATATGCGTCGCCATGGGCTGGTGCCAACTATATGCCGTATGATTGACTGAAACTGGCTCCTCGATAAAGTTCTGATTAAGTGAATCTTCTATAGGGTGGGAAAGGAGGGAAGTGCTCATCACAAATGGGAGCTCGATACCTGGCCGGCATTGAAAGAAATCACAGAGAAGTACCCAGAGGCCGGTATCCACTTCCGAGGTATGGTCTCCCCCCAGAACCTGATCAGCATCCGATCCTCTAATAAAATCCAGGCACCCTAATCTACAACCGAAAGAAGGATCAAGAAACAGATACCGGAAAGTGGTTCTCGGAATTGACGCAGCCAAACCCGTGGTATAAAGACGTCGTGCCTGATGTATGTTTTAACCGTGAGATGGTGTCACCGAATGACTATCTACAAACTAACGCGATGATTCTAGTTCAAAAGCGTCCCCTCTAATCAATTAGCCCCCGGAGTGGACAATGGCCAGGAGTTCACATCTGTTTGCATCAACACCGCTGTCTACCTGCCGTGGTTGGTCGGTCAGTGCGTCAAGAACGGCGCCGTCTTTGAGCGAGCTGTCTTTAAGCATATCGCCGATGCGGCCAACGCCCACCACACCGGACAGAAAGCTGACGTGGTGATCAATTGCACCGGTCTATCATCCAAGACGCTCGGCGGTGTTCTCGATGACAAGATGTATCCTGCTCGTGGTCAGATTGTCGTGGTCCGCAACGACCCCGGTCCCATGATGTCGACATCCGGAACTGACGACGGAGAAGATGAGGCGTTGTACATTATGACTCGCGCTGCAGGTAAGATCTTATATGCCGGTTGTACTCTTGGGTCATTAGCTTATTGCTTCTAGGTGGTGGCACGATCCTCGGTGGCTCTTATCAAAAGCACAACTGGAGTGGAATCCCGGATATGAACCTTGCCAATCGCATCATGAAGCGTTGCATCGATGTCTGCCCCAGCCTCGTCAAGGAGGGACAGGGAATTGAGGGGTTAGACATTATTCGTCACGGCGTTGGCCTCCGACCACTGAGAGAAGGTGGCACTCGAATTGAAAAAGACAAGGTCGATGGTGTGGCAATCGTTCACAATTACGGCCATGGAGGATTTGGTTATCAGGCCTCCTTCGGCTGTGCATATTCCGCTGTGTCTTTGGTCAAGGAGATCCTGCAGAACAAATCTCGTGCTAAGCTGTGAGGAACTGCATTGTATAGAGCAATTGTTATAAACTAGTAGCAATTCCACATGTATATATTGCGAAGTTTGGTAGGCCCATGTATGCCATTGTGACGTCAATTGATAATTGTGTAAGGATTCGGTTTGGGACTCAGCAGGAGCATCATTCACTTCCATCCATAATCATTCCATCAATTGCTCCATGATGCCAGCACATGGGACTAAAGAAACACCCCACAAAATTATCAAAGTACTGAACGAGTTCGGTAGATCTCCTCTACATGGCACAGTACTTGCCGACTCAAAGTCGCTAAATGCCAGCCCCGAGATACTCTTGGCGATGGCTCTAGACGCTCTGATCAAAGCAAAGCCAATCTCTCATGAGTTGACACAAAAAACTATCAAAAGGCTAATCGAAGCCGAGTACCATGACATCGACGTACTTTCCCAGACTACGTGGGAAGATCGAACAATGATTTTGCTAGAAGGGGGTTACAACCGGTATCGAGAGCAGGGGGCTACCAATCTTGGTGAGCTCGCGAAGCTGGTTGCTGAAAGATACGGTACGTTTTCACTCTATCGGATTTGAATCTGCGATGTTATATTGCACGTGGAAGCAAACCCTAACGTTGGATGAATACAGACGGGGATTTGAACAATCTTCTCAAGCTGGCAGACGGAAAACCCCACAAAGTCAGGATATTAATGAAGGAGATCAGAGGCATGGGTGACTTGGGAGTGGAGGTATTTTTCAACAACGTTCAAGGCATATGGCCAAGCATTGCTCCTTCTGTCGATTCACGGAGCTTGAAGACCGCAGACGAGATCGGAATTGGAACTGATTTGGATGAAATATATAATGCACTAGAGCAGGACCCAATGCGCATGAGTTATTTCGCTAATGGCCTCTCTGAGGTTCGGTTGGAGAAAAGGCAGGAAGTGATTGGGAAAGTTTAAAAATGGACAACAGCCACATAGATGGCGATGAACGGGATATTAGCAACGTATGTTAGCAAGAAGAATGACAGAACTACCGGTTTGCTTCCTCACGTACACATATGCTAGCTCTTGACCTACGTGATCTCCCCCAGTCGACCCATTTCCCAGAAGCTCGCGGCGAAAAAACGGCAATGTTACCTTTGACATTTTTGTTCCGAAAGCATCAATAACACCTCAACTAGGTAGCTTCAAAAGCAAACACATAAATCACCGAGAGATGATTTACCTGCTTTTCGGATTTGGGGCTAAATGAACCATCTTTTTGAAGTCAGCAACCATATTCAACAGAAATTGGATAAACATGCAGCCACTTACCACTGGAACTATGGCCGACACACTCAGAAACCCCAACATGGCGGTGCATCCAGTCCATCCCAAATTTTCAAACGCAAGCTCTGAGAGCAATGGGCCGAGGACAGTACCAGCGCCAAATGCTGCGTCAAGGAGCATATAAGCCTCGGTGACTGCACTCTTATCGCCATATATATCAGGCTGCTCCTCTTGCAAAGTATTCACAACGCGAGGAATTTCCGCCACTAACGGGGTCAGCGATGTGTTTAGCCCTATCCCTGTTCATTGTGAGCAAATCAGTGGTAAATTTGACGTTAATGGAACTGAGACCAGAGCTTACCAACAAAAGATAATAGTACACACGCCATAACCTTATTTGTAGTATTGTTATGTTTTATCAGGGCGAGAAGAGCGACTGCGATGGCTGCCAACGTAAAACCGAGACCGGAGATCAATCGGACACCGTATTTGTCTGAGATCATTCCAACAAATGGACCTATCAATGATGGAATGGTCAAATTTAAAAACATGGCCCCCGTAGCGCTGGAAAACCAGTGAAAGGTCTGCTTGATAAAAATCGGGAGGATGGCGTCCATGGCGCTCACTAAGATTGTGTTAATGAGGCATCCATATAACGCAGCAAATATGCGATGATTTCGAAGAAAGCCTCCGACAATAGTCCACCAAGAAGGATCTTTCACAACCACAGATGAGGTATCGCGGCAGTGTGAAAGGAGCGGTGTGGTGACAGTTAAGTCGCCTTCTTCGACAGTTGACAATCGCCGTTTTCCATTTGAAATTGCGCTCTTCGGCGAGCTTCCATTCGGAAGGGAGGAACTCTTAGTGGAATCATTGTGCCCTCTATACTTTGCAGCAGTCTTCCTGTCGATCATGAGCAAAATGAGGACCAAATTGATGAGAACTACGCCAAGACCCATGATGAAGACAGGATAGAACCCTGATTTTTCATATACAATTCCTCCGAGAATAGGTGATACGAGCACGCCAAAATTCATGCCCGAGAGTCCGAAGCCAATCCAGGGTCCCAGCTCGTGCGACTCGATCGTGTCCACCAACAGCGTTAATCCAGCAGTGTAGACAACACCCGCAGATAGACCCTGGAAAATCCTTGCCACAATGATCACCCATGGCTTAATTCCAAGCATAAACGCAAGGGTGGCACCGAATGCGCAAGAAAGGCCACCCAGAAATGGTGTTTGGCGCCTCTTGCATTTTCCAACAACCCAGCCTGCTATCGGGGCTCCAAGTACCATCGCGAGACCAAAAACGGCCAAAGAAGTTGATGTCCAAAATGGGACGTCAGCCTCTGGCACTCCAGACCGAACCGTTAACGAGAAAGGAAGCACGGATACGATCTAGAAGAGAGCCCGTAGGGTCAGTAGTGCCATTTGACAGTTAAGATTAGAAACACATACGATCCCGTAAAGGAATCCATCAGTGAAGGTGGTCGAGAATACAGCAAGGCCGATCAGTTGCTTGGATGAGCGCAGATTGAAAAGCCACGGTTTTCTTGATATGATATCCTCCATGATAATTTGGTGATAACAAACAAGACTCACACTGAATCTTGATTTGATTTCCCCCGCGATGTCCCCTCGTAACAGATAACAATAATCCTTTAATGGGAAAACACAGGTGTGTGGAAAGCTAAGTCCAAGGTGAAGATGTAAGGGGGAAGGTGCAATCAAGATAGAATTTGGAGCAGTGTACTTTTGTATCAAGGCTATATGAACTATAATTAAATTGAGTAATACTGTCAGCGATGAGCAGGTTTTAATATAAACAGACTTGGTCTCTTGAAATATTGGTAATTTGGTCCGAGATCCAGCCAGTTATTCTCTGTATATTGCTCTAGTCCGTAGACCTGCATGGAGGGATGATGCATGCACGTTATCTGCATGATTTATTGACGATTAACACAACTGATTGGGCCAATTATTATAGATTTGGTCGAATTATCCACCAGGATCGGAAGTGGCACCAGCTGAATTATTGCTTGGGGGGGTGCTGGACGTGTGGAATATTTTTAGGGCCCTTCAAAGTGGTTACGTGTCGGTTTAATTGGAACTCATTGCCTACAACTTCTTGAATTGGCACAGTAGTTAATTAAGCATATCTGGGTATGTATATAGGTGTCTTTGAGTGTTTATTATTCATCTAAATTCTGAGCTGCTATATCACCTATCAAGTTCGACACAGAGAATTAATGAGATACAGACCCCAGTGAACAATCAAACAACTCTAACTCTGAATCTGCACGTGTACATTTTCCCGAGGTAAATAGAGAGATATAGTTTGTCATTTGACGCTTGACCTTTTTCTTATTGGTAGAGATAATGAAAAGCAGTAACTTGGTCAGACATATAAATCACGGCATCAAAAGGTATCATATTCAAAATTTGACACAAACAGTAATCTACCATAGAGATGTTGAATCAATACTTACTGCTAGGAACACAATTTATAAACCAGGTATTCTTAGCCATACTAACTAGCTTAGTGTAGAGGCAGAAAGCACACTACATCACGAGGGGTTTGAAGCGCTTGATATAGTCATATCTCAAGCATTCTGGTCAAGTCCTTTCGTATGCTATACCTGAATTTTCACCTTGTAAACCAGGCATCCCTTTAATCAACCTTAACTAGTTAACTAGTACATATAGTAGACACATAGACATGTGGTTTTTGTAGGCTTCAACTTTCAGTTTTCTCTCTCTCTCTTCCTGCCTATAATTATATCTGTACTTCTACAATGTCTTACTAAGACGGTTATAATAAATGCTCTATCTTAGAGGTACCGACCTTAGCATGTATTATAAATTTCTACCCGACGATCGAGAGATCAATGGTAGCTAAGTGAAGACCTGCTAAGTGAAGACCTGTAGCCCTACGCCAAGGAAGCACTATTCTATATACAGAATAGTGTATGCACTGGCCAGCGCCAGATCACGTGAGCTACCAATTGTCTTGGCAGACCCGCTGGTTGCGACAGCGCAGCAGCTGTCGGCACCCTCATTTCCACTTTCCCCCTGTTCTGCTTCATTCAAACCCTGGCAAGCTCTTTGATCAAACGCTTGTTGTTTATTAAAGCTTCCCTAAGAACCGTTGTTTCATCTTAAAGGTAGGTTTCCTTTTATCATAGAACTAGGAAACTGGGGTCCGGCCTGGCGAACTTCAGCGAACCTAACTTCCATCTTCATTTGAGCGATTGGCGAGACCAAGCGTCATCGTATTCGTATCATAAGCTAACAGAGCACTATCGAAGACCCAATTTAGTTACTCGACACCAATTCTTTGTCAAAACTCTGCAGCCTAACGACTCGCCCTCCACATTGATTCGCGAGCAACCTTGAAGATCACTTCCATCTCATAAACCCTTCAACGAAACTATCGCAATGGATTTCACAAACATCTTGTATGTTAGCTCTTCCTGGATATATTTGTGCCAGTACTGATCCAATGCAGCCGTCTTGTCAACATCGCCGTGGGCGTGTTTATGGTGCTCGGTGGCATCAGTAACTTCTTCACCGGCACCTGGAGTTCATTCATCCTCGGCGCATATGCGGTCGTCTTCGGTCTCGGTAGGTCCCGACGCTCATTTGAACTCACAACGCCAATAGCCAATGCTAACATTATCTTAGTCGTCGGCGGACTGGAGTTCCTCCCCCATGTTCCGGACTACGCGTACCGTTATGCGTCGTTCCTCTTCTCCTTCCTGGGCCGTGGTGTCTGTAAGTTATATCTTTGCACGCTCCTAGATCAGAAGGAATTCGGTGGCTAATCACTTCCGTCAACAGTCTACATCTTCATCGGTTCCATTCTGCTGCACGACCACGTGCTGCGCATCATTGATGGTTCGCTGATTGCCTTCATCGGTCTCGGATACGTCGCCCTCGAGTTCATTCCTTCTATCGAGCCCCCCTCGAACATGCGCGAATCCGACCAGGGCTGGGGTGCCGAGCAGGTCTAAATTGCCTAGGCGGTGACAATTATTTCCTGTCGCGTTGGCACTGTGATGGATACTGTTTGATCAGGCGGTTCCCTCCAGCATGCGGTATGTGATGTTCGATGAGCACAATGACCTTGGGACGCCCTTGAGTCTGAATTTGATCGGTGAGGGATGTCATTATAAAGGGAATTTGAAGAGGAGAATGGGACAGTTTTGCTGGATTGGTATTTTTGGTTGATACCAGCGTAAAGGGACAGAGAGACACCTGTACTATATTGACGTGGTGAGCTAGCATTGTCTAGCAGCATTGGCATGCTCTAATGATTTATTGATTTCTTATTACAGTAATCCGGTGAGAGATCATCTGATAATCAAGGAGCTAGTGCAGGGACTTAGCGCCAAGACTTCCATGTACTACTCAGTATTGTATGTGTACGGAGTCTGTACTTTTGTCTCCGTACAATGTACAACGGTGTACGTTACAGTTCGAAAGTACAGCGTGGCCATATCGCTTCGGCTTGTTCCATCTCCGAGAAACCAATCGGAATAGCCAGAGAGTTGATGACAGGATTAATCATCTATTTTGAACCAATCACTTCCATTATATATTTGATTGCCTACCATTGCCCCACTCTAACCTCAGTTAGGGAAGGTGTAATTCCCATCTTCCCACTTTTTTCCTTTCTTTTTCCACCTTTTCCATCTTTTCCACTGTTTTTTCACTTTCCAACTAAACTTCATCAGGCCATAGGTGGAGTCTGCAATGTAATGGGGGACATAGAATCATGCAGAATCACCAGAGATTTCCCGCTGGATTAGTAGAAGAAGAAGTAGAGAAGAGAAAAGAAAGAAAAAACCGAATAAGAATGATTAGATGAGATTGATGCGATCCTTCGGCAAACGGTACAGATTAAGTGATAGATTGATATGCCGTCGATCCCCCCTTCCACTTAGATCGATAAACCCCAATCCCTTTTTTGGCGATAAGCAATACTCGGTCTCGCCTCTTTGTCCTATTTCTCTCATCTCTTTCCTTTTCATCTTTCCTTCGGATTTCTGAATTGTCTTTGATACCTCTTGCCACCTGTACCCTCCAATACTTGTCCCCCCCCCTTATCGTCTTCATCACATCTTGTGTGCCCACTTTGCCTAGTCCTTAACGCGGAGTGATCACCATCTTGCAGCTCCCTAGCCTGTCGACCAATCCCTGCCTTGCTGTTCGTCCTTTTGCATCTGGCCCTCGTCCCCGAACGAAACTGTCCCCCACGATCGCCTGCTAGTCAGACCAGACCTTGTGGTGTGCTGTCAAATATCGCAATCACTATCACCTGACTGTTCCACGCCGTTGGGTCGCCACTGTTCCATACGAGCCGGTTACTATCTTTGGTGGCGGGTCGACTCATTTAATCTACTCGACACTGGATTTCCTGATTCCTGTGTGGCGGCATCCATATTCACTTCTTTCCGACCACGATCCCGAGTCATCGTCCGCCCTGCGATTCCCCCGATCCTGCAGCGTCGTGGCTGCATATCTTCCTGCTGGACTGACTTTCCCATCTTTCTCCAACCCGTCAGCTTGACCGACATTTGATTTTTGAGTGATACGGTGCATTCCGCTCTCGACTGTGGTGTGACATCGCCCTCACATCTTAGGATTTTCACTCTCCCTTTCCCTTCCGTCGTTTCGTTCCCATTCGACCCTCCCGCTCTAAGAATCACAACGGCTGAAGGATTCCTGGCCCGAATCTACGCTTGTAATGTTAGCGTCCATCCCACAAATGGAAGCGCTTCACTCTTTGCCTCGGAATCAGGACGTTCCAATGCGACAACCGTCAGCGGAAGATTTGGATGCTGCGCAGCAGTTGATATCCTCCGCGCAGGCAGGTCGTGAACATTTAGCAGATCACTATCGGGAGGATGGCATGGTACAAGGATCTGGTCAACCGGGAACAAATCAATGGATTGGACACAATGACATCCCGAGCGAAAAAACATCCCCTGGCAGCCAAAAAGACACAACATTCCTGGGGCATTCATGCAGGTGAGTCTCGACTGGGTGGCCTCCATTGATAGTTAGGTTATAAGGGCTGACCCCATCTCTTCTTTTCAGCAATTGTGGCACAAAAAGCACTCCTCTCTGGCGTCGTTCTCCTACGGGAGCGATGATCTGTAACGCCTGCGGTCTCTACCTCAAAGCTCGCAATGTCGCCCGTCCCACGAAACGGAATCGGATGCAATCAGAAGGGGCGGAAAAACCACCGGTTCCTGCGACCTCTCACTGTGGTGGTTCTTCAGAAGGCGGTGGCTGCAAGGGGTCATGCCCTGGTGGTGGGAGTTGTAATGGCACCGGTGGTGCAGAAGGATGCGATGGATGCCCGGCATACAACAACCGGATATACAAGTCTGCTCCCCGAGGAGCGACTGCCATCCAGTCCTCGTGGGGCCGCCATTCAGCGCAAGAGCTTGAGCCTGTGACGCAAGAGGAGCCACCGGCAAAGATCCCTGCTCCTGCTGATGGCCCCAATACCTTGGTTGCATGTCAAAATTGCGGCACAACCGTGACTCCTCTGTGGCGACGCGATGAACAGGGCCACCCCATCTGCAACGCTTGTGGTAAGTCTGGATTGAGTATAGATTTGATGACATGATCTCTAACACAATGTAGGGTTGTACTATAAGCTCCACGGATGCTATCGCCCCACCAACATGAAAAAGTCCATCATCAAACGTCGCAAACGTGTTGTTCCCGCCCTGCGGGATCAGTCCCCCACCGCTGCTACCCTTTCTTCCAATGGCTCATCGGCATCCCCGGAGGCATCACCTGCCGCTCTGGCGCATGGCCATGACGATCACTATCGATATATGAGCAGTGAGCCTGTGGATCACTACCACATGATGCCTGGAAAAACTGAAGACGCACCTCGACCCTTGCCGTTTGCGCCACCCCCGGTTGATTTTACCGGTTACAATGGTTCATCCGTGCCCCTTGCACATGGTCTCTCCATCTCCCACGGCCTACCCAAACCCTTGGGAGTGGAGCGACTAGGACATTCACCCGTGTCTCAGTACGGGCGGCGGTCCGCCTCTCCAAATACCCTCAACCTTCCCAAAAAACGAACATTGGCGGAGACCGCGACAGAGGCACTACCGGCCCCCTCTACATTGGAAGCTGGATCAAATCAACTGCCTCCCATTATGTCTTCGGCCAATCCTACACCCCCCGGCCGTCTCAGCTCAATCTCGTCCATTTTAAACCAATCAGATGTTCGGGGCGAGCCTCGCCCGGATACCAATCTGGGACGTCCACCTCCTATTCACCATTCTATCTCCCCTTCGCCCCACTCGCCGCAGCCCTTGCCTGGCCTTGCGTCTCTCGGAGACTCGGTTGATCGCCGTGCCCGACTTGAACGCGAGGCTGAGCAGATGCGCGAGATGCTCAGGGCAAAGGAGCGCGAGCTGGCAGAAATGAGACGATAGACTCAATGCCTGCCTAAGTTGTGACGAAAATAATGATATTCGGATAATGTTTTGCAAACCGGTGTTTCTCGTGAGATAATGGCGCACAAAGATACCACTCACGTTCCTGGGATATCTTGTCCCTGGCTGTGTTATTATTATTTTTTTTTAAAAATCGTGTTAAATGAATTGTATTTTATAATGTGCCGTTGCTATCTATTTAATTTTAACGTGTTCCTCGATGTTAATTCCTGAGGACCGATGTCATAATGACTTCTAACACCCAAATCCAACCTCGACCAACTCAATTGGAAACAGATTAAATTCGCTTTAAAATACCAATTTTAATTCTTCAAACTGACCACTCTCTACAATGTCCACCCTAAAAGAATTCACTCTGACCTTCACAGGCGATGTTATGCTCGGCCGCCTGCTTGATCAACTAATGCCAGAGCACGTCCCCAACCAGCACGATGAGCGCATCGCCACAACCTTCATAGAAGCCCATCCAACTCTCCTCTCAAAAGGAAATTACACACCCTCGTCTCCATGGGGAACAACCCTCCCCCTCCTCCACTCCTCTACTTTAGCATGTATCAACCTCGAAACTGCCGTGACAACAGCCCCAATCCCGTGGCCCAACAAGGTATTCAACTACCGCATGCACCCAGCAAACCTAGGTCCCATTCTGCATGCTGGCGGCATCGACTACGCCAGTCTTGCAAACAACCATACCCTGGATTTCGACACCGAGGGTCTTACAGAGACTGTGCAAACACTGCAACAGGCGAACGTCACTTACGCGGGGGCGGGTGAAACAGTCAACGATGCACGCAAGCCTGCTGTACTACATTTACCCAGGGCGTCAGAGCCCATAGACGAAGGCAAACAACAGCGCCACACGGTCCATATTTACTCGGCCTCTGACCACCCGCGCGTGTGGGCCAGCGTGCCGGGATTCAATCTGTTCGATTACACGCGCGATACGCGCGCTCGACTGCGTGAAATGCTCGTTGATGCCGAGGAGACCAAGCCTGCGTTGAAGATCTTTTCGGTTCACTGGGGGCCGAATTATGCTTGGCAGCCCGATGGACGGATTACGTCTCTTGCGCATTTCTTGATCGATGAGTGTGCAGTGGATATTGTCCATGGGCACTCGTCGCATCATGTTCAGGGTGTGGAGGTTTATCACGGGAAGCTTGTTATCTACGGGTGTGGGGACTTTGTGGATGATTATGCTCTGAATGAGGAGTATAGGAATGACCTCGGGGCTTTGTGGAGGGTTGTTGTTCGGGAGAAAAGTGGTGGTGGACCTGGATTAGAGAGATTGGAGATCTTCCCTACACGGGTTGAGAGGTTTAGGGCTGTTTTGTTGGATTCTAGAGATGCGGATCATGTCTGGGTTAGGCAGAGGGTTCGTGAGCTCAGTGGGGAGTTGGGAACAATTGTCAAGGCGGGGCTGGGGGAGAAAGGGGAGATCATTGTTCAGTTGTCTGGAGAGTAGATATCTCCGAGTATGTACTTTGTAGTTAGTGAATCTGAGATCATATGCTTCGAGTGTCCACCATGCGA